TTGCGGGACGCCTGGGGTAGAGCAGCTGGGGTGCTGCCGGGTTGGTCCTGCGGGGACCTAACCGGCAGTGCTCCAGCTGTTCTGTCCCAGGAGTCCAGATTCAGCCGCTGTTGAAACTGATCAGCGGCTGATTCCAGGAAGCCGGGGGCAGAGCATCTCTGCTTAGGGCTTCCTGTAGTCAGCCGCTGATCAGTTTCAGCAGCGGCTGAATCTGGAGCCAGTTCCGACTTACATACAAATTCAACTTAAGAACAAACTTATAGTCCCTATATTGTACGTAACCCGGGGACTGCCTGTATCTGAGGTTAAAAATTAATTTTAAAAGTAATGTAATTGTTAGACAAGCTTAAGGAAAAATTAAGAAGGACAAAGTCAATAGTTAATTTTTTCTGCGTTGGTCACTTCTATAAGTGTCCTCTTTGTGAACTGGTCAGTGTGCTAGCCTTCACACAATAAGGTGTAGATATCAATCCTGCAAACACTTATGTGCATATTTATGCATGTGAGTATTCTTAATAAACTGTATTATACTACTTCTATGTAAATAAGAGAATGTATTTCAGCATTTGCATGGTTAAAGTATTAGATTATACGGCATATTTCTAACAGTACTTAATAATTTCATGTATTTTGTATATATAACATTGTTTATACCTATATGATACCAGAATTATTTAATTGGTTTAGATTGATTTTTCTTCAGTAAAGCACAAGGTGCAGGACAAAACTGTAGAAAAGATTCTGAAGAAGTGGCGTCCTTATGTCATACGTTTGAATCTTCGTGCTTGTTCTGCTCTTCACTGGCCAAGCTTTAAAAGTATTAGTAAGTATTCAAATATTTTTTAGTTCCGTCTCTTCCATTTCCCTCTTTCAAGCATCTTTTTCTTTTGTCAGATTGCTCACTCTATGACCAGGTATTCTTGCTATGACTATAGAACTATGAAATGCTATAGAGTCCAGAGCAACTTAGCTCAACTTGGCAGGAGCCTGTGAACCTCTCAAGCCTTTTCAATCATTTTATATTTATAGTTTTTAACTAAGGATGTTAACTAGCAATTAATTTACTAGTCGAGTAGTCGATGGAATTTCCATCAACTACTCAACTAGTCAATAAGCACTTCCGCGTTTCGCCTTTGAAATATACAAGAGCCCCAAGGGCGTCACAAGGAGATGCTGAGATCTGGTTGATCAAGCTGTATCACACTACCCATTTCAGTTTGACATTCACACTCGGCACATCACAGCACTCAGCCATCTGCCCAGCTGCACTTGCTGCAGGCTGCCATCTATGGGGTGGGTCAATCGGGGGCCTGCAGGAGAGCTTCCACCCCGAGGAGCCCGCAGAGCCACCCCAGACCTCCCCATTGGGGGCTCGTACCCCATTCCTCCCTCACCTCCTTCCATTTACCCCTCACTAGCCCCCCCTTCCTGATGTACAAAATAAAGGACACGTGTGTTCAAAAATAGAAACTCTCTTTATTGAACAAAACTTGGGGAGACTGGGAAAAGGAGGTGGGAAAGGAGAATAGAGAGGATGGGAGAGGGGAGGGCAACTAAAATGATCAGGGGTTTGGAACAGGTCCCATATGAAGAGAGGCTAAAGAGACTGGGACTTTTCAGCTTAGAAAAGAGGAGACTGAGGGGGGATATGATAGAGGTCTATAAAAGCACGAGTGGGGTGGAGAGGGTGCATAAAGAAAAGTTCTTCATTAGTTCCCATAATACAAGGACTAGAGGACACCAAAGGAAATGAATGGGTAGCAGGCTTCAAACTAATAACAGAAAGTTGTTCTTCACAAAGCAAATAGTCAACCTGTGGAACTCCTTGCTGCAGGAGGCTGTGAAGGCTAGAACTGTAACAGAGTTTAAAGAGAAGTTAGCTAAATTCATGGAGGTTGGGTCCATGGAGTGGTATTAGCCAAAGGGGTAGAAATGGTTTCCCTGGCCTCTGTTTGTGGAAGGCTAGAGAAAGATGGCATGAGACAAATGGCTTGGTCATTGTCTT